CCCCCCCCAGGTTTGGGGTCACTGATTGATTCTGTGTCTCAGTGTCAGCAAAACGGCCCACTGGAGAAGGATCTGCAGGAGTCAAATATACAGTGGAGTCCACTTATAACGAGTCCTGAAATAACAAGAAGTCTGTTATAAAGACACTATACTAAAACCCTGGGTTTTTTCCCCTTCTTTATCTTTGTAAAAATAAAATGCAGTGGGTGTCGCATTCAATGAGGTTGCCGGGACCGGCTTGTTGTCCTCGTTGGATCCAACCTCTCGTTGAACGTGACTGAGGCGAAAGTAAAGAAAGGAGACAAGTTAGTATATTACATGATGTATCTATACCAGTAATTGAAACAGTTGTCTCCCTTATGACGAAAATCTCTAACAGCGTCAGTGTGCACGTGTTTGAGCTGTGTTCTGACCGTCATTTCTGAATTTTAAAATATTTTTTCCGGAACACTTCTCGTGTGGAAACTTACCCTCTCACATCTAGGCTTAGATCTACATAAAGTAAAGGCAGGAGCTTGGATTTTCTGATCAGGGGAAGAAAACAAAAAATTGTTTTAATGAGGGTCTCGATCTAGACCTAGATCTAGAGGCAACCCATCCAGAGTTCATCCAGTTTCACACAGCCTGCATCGCGTTCCCACCCACCCCCTCCCATCCCTACCTTAGGCTAACCCTCGCCCATCCTCTTGGCTTTGACGGGGCCCATATTAGGAGGCACACTAGAACTAGCCATACAAATACAATGTACAGTGTATTAGGAATCGATGATGAGCCTTGTGCTTCGCGTGAGATGGGGAGAAAGGAGAAACATTCTTTGCTTTTGCCGGGCCGCTAATTGCTTTTGTTTGGTTATCGCAACCTCGGTGAAAGCGACTTCGGTCTGTTTGCAACCTCGCTGGAGCTGACGTACATTTACAAAGAGATATATAGGGGAAAATCGGGGATGAAGGATTGTCTTGATGGAGCCGACTTCTCGTTGAAGGTGCCCTCATTGAATACGACACCCACTGTACTGCTATAGCGCAATCAGACAAATACGTGAGTCGGTTATAGCGGAATATTGCTGCTGCTGTGCACAGCGCATAGGCCAGTTATACATGGTAGAACCTCATCAGTTGAGTTGAGAAACTTGTTGGTGATCTAGCGAAACCAAGGACCTTACATCAACTCCTTGAGCAAAACAAAGAATGGAAGAGCCCACGTGTGCCAACTATGAAGGCCAGAACGAATAAGTGGGGAGGGTGTGGTATGCGCAGACAAGCAGAACGCATCGCGTGATAGGCCAACCTAGTCTAGATTATCTAGGCCTACCACTACCATGCCTCTCACTTCTCCGATGTGGGGATGGAGAGGTCACAGTGCTGTGATAGATGGAGCGAATGTGTGACGCGTGCAAGCAGACGGAACGCACCACTGTGTGTGGTGGGGAACAACACAGCAGGCGAGTTAGCCAAGAGCTCTTTCTGTCAACATTGCACGCGCTAGAGATAAAAACCTGATTCGATTTTTGATTAAGTAAGACCAAGAGGTCATGTTGAACAATATCATCATCAGGGGAGATAACAAAAAGAACTAAACAGAACTCATAGATTAGGCCCACTGTATTATTATTTCCTTTGAATTTATTACTGGATCCCTTATATAACGAGAATCCTGGTATAACGCACATTTGGCACCGGTCCCTTCCCTCTCTTTATAACAGGATTCCACTGTCAATAGCAAGCTGAAGGTGCAATGGTACTGGTAGTTTCCCTTGATAACGGCTATAACAGGACTCGCTTATAACAGAAAAACTGCCGGTCACGCCTGTCCTGTTACTTAGAATCTCTACCGAGTTGTACTGTAATGAAATGAAAGAAACAGAAAACTTTCTGCACATTCGGCAATTTTTGTAAAATGTCTTTTTGTCTTTGCACCTTTTATATCCATTTAAAAAA